TATCTTACCAGTCTGCGTGACACAAAATAATCCAGCACATGTATCCAACAGCAATGTTCGCAGACTCACGAACAGAAGTCGTGCGGGCTTGGATAGAGTTCGAACCTGAGTGGGCCGGGGACGCGAAGAAGAAATATCTGAACAAGGGCACGTACAATGCATCTCAAGCCGCGAAGAAGATTAGGCGTGCGAAAGGGGCGGAGATGAGAACCCAGTTGCTCGCGGCAGCGGCGGACGAGTTTCGCGCTGAGAGTGTCGAGACGCTCGACCTCGTCGTGAAGGATGCGGCGAAGTCGATCAGCGCAGCAGCGGAGATGGAAGATGTGAGTAATTTTCAGCGGCATTTATGATCAACGTGTAGTTCTTTTCTTCTTCAGCATGCCGTGCTCGAACCTGGGTCTACGCTCTGTGATTTGCACTGCTGTTTTATTTGTCAACAGGGCTTGGTTGGGGCGGAGGCTGTAGGGCGCCACCACCCCCTCCGAGCTCCGGCTGCGACCGCCAGAGTAATTTATTAACCATGCATTCTCAACTAAAAAAAATACACTCGAAACACTGCTGTCAGAAACACTGATGTCAAACAAATCGGCAACTGAAAATGGAAAGATTTATTGCCGCCCTCGACACCCCTCTTCGCGCAGGACACCAACACGGCAGAGAGCGTTTTGTCCAACTACATGCTGGCGCACATGGTCCAGGTGGCCATGACATTGATCCAGCTGTACACCCAGCAGCTCAACGGGGTCGACCGGATGGATGCACTGGCCATCGCAGAAGAGGTTTGACGGAGGAGTGTTCCAACAGTACAGCTGTGGGAGCGGGATTTCATCGCGCGCGGACGCATCAAGCCACCTGATACAGGTCGCTTCAAGCGCCGGTTTTTGCTGGAACTCGACGAAGGCGTCTCGAGGCTCGCGAAAGGCTAGGCACTCGAGAACAGCGGGATACTCAGCGGGCAAGCCAACAAGACGGCGGAGGGTTTCCGCAAGTGGGTGAACAGCACCATCATGCCGATGCCGGAGGCGCAACAAACGGAGGACTTCGACCCTTTTCATTGATTGAGAATAAACCTGGTGGAAGGGAAGGAGAACGAGCCGCCAAGGCACCAAATCTCCCTTTCCACGGCAACAGAGTGACTGAAGAAGATGGGATGCGAATACCACGACGGCAAAAAGCGTCTATTCTTCGATGGCCACAACGACGAGAAGACCCTAGCGTACCGGCACAAGTTCCTGCCGGCGCTGTTCGAGACCCGCGACTACATGGAGGTGTGGATTCCAATGGGCAAAGAGGGAGCGGTCGCCTGGGGCATTGACGTTGATGCGGTGGATGAGTCTGAGCGCTTGCCGGAGTGGTGTCTGGGTTGGTGTCGATGATCTCGAGGCAGCGCTGGCAGACTTGCCCGCAGACCTGCAAGCCAGAGTGCAGAGCAAGAAAACCTACCCCGACGGGGGGCGGGCCATGCTTCTCTACCAGGACGAAAGCATATTTCGAGGTTAGTCTATTTAATTTAAACAGAGAAAGTTGGCTCGACTGATTTGTAAATTTATTCCGGACGTGAGTAGTAATAATGCACGCAATTCAATATACTTTCGGGGCTGTGACCACAGAGATGTTGACAATGCCACACCCGCCGCCCAAAATTATCGGTGTCCTTTCAAATTTGCAGCCAACGACGACCAGAGGTACGCGTGGTATCGGGACGGCCAGCACGTGCCTGTCGAGAAGTCACAAGGCCAGGGGATCATGGTGTCGGGGACGATCATCCACAACCTCGGCTTCTTCTCGGCATCGCGGGAACAGATCAAGGAGGCGGAGCGCAACCGCAGGAAACGATGCACTGCCTCAGTTGCCGCGAAGAGTCNCCAACGACGACCAGAGGTACGCGTGGTATCGGGACGGCCAGCACGTGCCTGTCGANGAGATGTTGACAATGCCACACCCGCCGCCCAAAATTATCGGTGTCCTTTCAAATTTGCAGCCAACGACGACCAGAGGTACGCGTGGTATCGGGACGGCCAGCACGTGCCTGTCGAGAAGTCACAAGGCCAGGGGATCATGGTGTCGGGGACGATCATCCACAACCTCGGCTTCTTCTCGGCATCGCGGGAACAGATCAAGGAGGCGGAGCGCAACCGCAGGAAACGATGCGCTGCCTCAGTTGCCGCGAAGCGGCGGGGGGAAAACGTGAAAGTCGAGAAGTTCCGCCCTATCGACATGCTGCACAACGACGGGCACGGACGGTACTGGTCCTACCACCTCTTCGAGTACGGCAAGAACAAGGAGGGATACTGAACCGGGCTCAAGATGCTGGACCACATGGCAGACGTGCTCGACGTGTTCACAGTTCTCTACCCTGAGCACAAGCCTGAAGGCCTGTTCGACTGTTCGTCCTGTCATGATTGCATGGAGGCCGGCGCACCGTCGGTGAAGAGAATGAACTTGGGTGTTGGTGGTGTGAGGAACGGAGAAGAGCTTGCGCCGATGGACCCCGTGACCCTCCTCGAAGACACCCCGAACCTCCCAGCGGGCACGATACAGCACTTGACGTTCCGGAGGGGAGACGCCCCCCCATTCCACTCCCCGCATCTCCGGCCGGCCGAGTATGTCGGAAAGCTGAAAGGAATACGGCAGATCTTGTGGGAGAGGGGGCTCCTGGTCAAAGCCATGAGTAAGACCGGGGGCTCAGGCGAAAAGAAGGACCTCAGCAAGAGCATGGAGCACGTTCTAGGAGACCAGAAAGACTTAAAGGAAGTTGATTCTAGTCTGGTGCTGCTAATGCAGCGACACGGGGGGGCCTGTCTCAGGCTTCCTAAGTACCACTGCCAGTGTAACCCCATCGAACTTGTTTGGGGACGGGCGAAGGACTGGACTAACAAGAATTGCACGTATTCGTTGGAATGCTTGCGCAATAACGTGCCGCTAAGTTTTAGAGCAGAGAAGGATAGGCAGGCTGTTCCGGTAGTCCAGGGCTACTGCAAGAAGGCATACACACACGCCCTCATGTACCGCGAGACGCGTGTGGAAGGGCCTGAAGGCAAGAAGACGTACAAGAAATACAAGTCACACAGGCGCCCGACCCCGAAGGAATGGAGACAGTAGATGGCGCATTCTTGTTCGTTGAGGTGAACTTTTTCAGGTTTTTCCCCATGTTTTCTGGAGGGAATGTTGTACAAAAAAAGGATGTTTTTGTTGACAATAGGCAATATTTACAACGGAAGTACGTGTTGGCGGGTGATATAAACACGCTATAGGCGCCGCAGAGGCATTTGTGAAGTGGTTGGGGGTCTTCCGGTACAGGTGTAGGTGGGTTGGCGAGAAAATTCATAATAATCCGCTGTAAGAAAATACATGGGTGAAAAGCTGCTCTAGGGCCTAGGTCGAGGGTTCGAGACCCGCCGCTAGCACTTTTCTTCTTTTTTCTGGCGACGCGCTACTCTTTTGCGCCTTGCTGCGGGCGTTCCAAAACTGTCTTTTTTTTTTCGATCCCAGTCAAAAGTTTTGGAAGGACAACCAAAATCGGGTCCTTGACAATTAGCACTTCAAGAACGGGGTCCATCCATTGCAGACTATGGTGTATGACTAGACTATAACAACCATCCATGTATGTATGGATGATTGTTATTATGGTCATACACCATAGATTGCAGATCTTCACTGGAACACAAGAACTTCGGCGGGTAGGGTCACCCCGCCCCCCCGTTGTTAGATATACAACATTACATCCACTTAGCTAAACAGTCAGCGGCTGACTGTTTAGCTCACTCAGTGGACTGTTTAACTCAGTGGATATGTTGTATATCTAACAAAAGTACAACCAGGGTCCGAACAAACAGCTGTTAGGCTGTCTGACTCTGGTTTTCCCCCAGGGTTGTAATCCCTGTAATCAGCGCTGCCCCAAGCGGTTCATCGGCTTACAGGCGGGGATATGTGTCTTCATCGTTCACGACTGACTGGTGATTGATGTGTACCACGACTTCCAGGTGTGTGTGTATCCCAGACTTTTTTCTCTTTCCTGAAAAAAGGCGTCAAGATGGCTCCCAGAGGGATTCGAACCCTGGGAATACTTTTGTTCCACACACACACGACATATTCACTGAGCTATACAGTCATGTTGTATTATACCTAACAAAAACATCCCAGTATTTTTTCCCACAACATCGGGTGGGTACCGAAAAAGTAGCGAACCAGGAGGAGGAGGGTGTGTGTGTGGGATATCGCTGTGCCCCCTTCGCTTCTGCTGTCGGGTTTTCCTCGGGTGCGTGCCACGTGCCACGCAACAAGCTCTCTGCCTGCACGAAGGGCGATCATGTCGCTGCCCTTGGCGACGTCGAGGGAGCTCCAGAAGCTCGCAGCACTCGAAGCAAAGGGTGGGATCCTTGAACGACAGTACGAGGTGATCAAGATACACGTTAGGCAGGGCAACTCCCTCTCGAGCGAAGACTGGGAGGCCTTCGATTTGGCGTGGGAACTGAGGAGCAGCGGCGTGTTTTCGCAAGAAGAGTGGACCACGCAGGTTGATGGAGACATCTCGGGCATCATCAACAACAGCGATCGCCCTACACTGTCTTAAGACCACGCTGCCGCGTCGTCCGCATCCGGAAAGCGGTCAACNGCAACTCCCTCTCGAGCGAAGACTGGGAGGCCTTCGATTTGGCGTGGGAACTGAGGAGCAGCGGCGTGTTTTCGCAAGAAGAGTGGACCACGCAGGTTGATGGAGACATCTCGGGCATCATCAACAACAGCGATCGCCCTACACTGTCTTAAGACCACGCTGCCGCGTCGTCCGCATCCGGAAAGCGGTCAACAGCAGCAGCAGCAGCAGCTCCGGCGGCGCGCGGGGCCCCGAATCGAGGAAAGAGACAACGAGAGGACGCCAGCAAAGGCTCGCTGAACATCTACAACTCGTTCCCTATTGGCAGCGGGGAACCGGTGAGCCCCTGCAAACTCTGCACAAACAATTGATGTCTTCAAAATGGTCTGTATGTGGCAGTGGGTATTTCTGAGTACATTCCAGCATGTATGTGCACAGCAGTTGTTTTTTTTCGCGTTTGTATGTGATTGTCCGTCTTTTCTTGTTGGCACGTGTGTGTGTGTGTCTACATCTATTTTTGTAGTGTATAAACATCACGTGATACGCCGTTGCAAATCGTGGAGTTTTGATTGGCATACAAAACTGCCGTGTCCGGCCGCCCGCCCCGGAAAGTTGAAGCAGAGAATTTTTTGTCACATACCAGGTATATGTCAATGCGTGTGTAAACTTCTACTACTGTTGTACCTCGATGCAAAACATACATAATACATGTAAAGGAACAAAATATCCGACACACCGATGTGCGTGGTGTACTGCTGTCGGTACTGCTGCATGGATTTTTTCAACCTTGCTGATTGTGTATTTACGTATGGCATGCGCATCTTTTCCCATTGGTCGGTAGGTTTTGCGGACTAGCGCTGACGTGCAGGAGTATGTGACCGGGGTCAGTTTTGCATTCCCGGCCCGGCCCCCCGTGTGCGATGCCCCCACTGTCCGACGACCTTTTTGAACACAGAAGGCCTGGGAGTCCACATGAAAACCAACCACAGCACGGCAAACATGTTGCAAGGCCAGCGACTGCAGCGGATGCTGGCAGACTATGCGAAAGGGGATGTCCTGCCGTGGGAGCGCGCCGGACCTGGGCGCTGGTATCACGTGAAGATAGATCGATGGCATCACGGGGGCAGCTTCGTTCGTCCTCCAGCCGAAGCGTCTCCCCGACATCGACCTGGAATCTGATGGCTTCACGCGTGCTGAACCTAAGTCCGCTCGTCGTGGCGCTGCCAAGCGCAATCGCTACAGGTTCACAGCCCACGTGCTCCAGCAGCTGCATATCCTCGAGGAGGACCGTTGCAGGCCGAGCACCTCACCCCTCTGCAGTACCTGGAACCCCACACGAATGTCCCTCGCCCCAACATCTGCAAGTGGGTCAAGGCGGAGAACGAGATCGTGGCGGGCGACGCAAACGAAGTGAAGTAGACGCTACTCGCGAGTATTGGAGAAGGAACATAGCATTAGTAAGGGCCAGGCAGGTTTTCGAAAAAAGAGGGGGTGCTTAGACCACGTATTCACGGTGGGGAGAATCATCCAAGGTAGAAAGAGGGCGGGAAAGCCGACGTACTGCTTCTTCCTGGACGTGAAGAAGGCATACGACACAGTATGGAGAAATGGGCTGTGGAAACAATTGTCCAAATACGGGATCAAGGGGAAAATGTGGAGAGTGCTGAAGAAGATGACAGAGTGTACGAAAAGCGCGGCCATGTTAGACGGAGAGCTGTCTAGATTCCTCGACATTGAGCAGGGGGTCCCACAAGGTTGCGCGCTGTCCCCAACATTGTTCCATGTGTTCATCAACGATCTGTTGCAAGTCGTAGAGGCAGTCCGGAAGGGAGTAAAAGTAGGGGACACGGAAACGTCGGTTTCAGGAATGCTGTTTGCGGANAGAAGGTAGTGAAAGAACTCGAGGCGGCGCAGATGAAAGCAGCGAAAATCATCCTAGGATGCTCCAAGCGCACAAGTATTGCAGGGCAGAATTGGGGTTCCAACCCCTACGGTCGGGAAGAGACGCGAGGAAGTTGACATGGCAGTNCATTGGAGTTCCAACCCCTACGGTCGGGAAGAGACGCGAGGAAGTTGACATGGCAGTATCGCATGTGCGGGATGGGAGAGGAGAGGTTGCCGAGGATTGTATGGGAGGCGAAGTGGGCAAACAAAAAGAGGGGTAGACAACCCACGGAATGGGTCAAGGTTGTAGAGGACGTATGGAAGGGGCTCGACATCGACGAAGATGAAACGCTGGAAACGGAGGGTCTACAGGGGTTCAAGGAGAAGATATCTGTTGCTTGTGCCGAGAGAGAAGAACAGAATCTGAGGAAAGAATCCAAGGATAAGGAGGGTCTAGAAGTGTACGGAATGTTGAAGGAAGGAATAGGGTTCAAGGACTACCTACATGGACCAATGGATGCAGGAACAACAAATAAGGTCAAATTCAGGACCGGGGACATAGGCCTTCGAGAACGTCGACGAAGACATAGGACGGTAGACGACGAAGTCGACGAGTTCAGCTGTGATTGCGGCTTCGAATGCGAAGACCGTGTTCATGTAGTCGCGAATTGTCAGTGGTACAAGAAGGAGAGGGAAGTAGTGTACGTGACTGAGCTGGAAAAAATAGATGGGACGTACAGGGAGATGTTTGAGGTATGGAATAGAGAGGAAAGGACGGTAGCTGTACTGGGGCATAGGAGGTGGGTTGAAAAGGCGGGAAGGGATATCGTTAGGATAGACAGACTAGGGAAGACATTTTTGAGCCACCTTTGGCAAAGTAGAAAGGAACGATTGGCCATCGGTGATCGGTCCTGTGGGAACAATGCTCCGTCCTCTNATAGGAGGTGGGTTGAAAAGGCGGGAAGGGATATCGTTCGGATAGACAAAGGAAGATATTTTTGAGCCACCTTTGGCAAAGTAGAAAGGAACGATTGGCCATCGGTGATCGGTCCTGTGGGANCACCTTTGGCAAAGTAGAAAGGAACGATTGGCCATCGGTGATCGGTTCTGTGGGAGCAATGCTCCGTCCTCTCGAGGACGCGTGGTCAATGGTCTAACCGCTAAGACATGCAAAACATGAGAGCACGCCTTCCCCCCCTCAAATGACGCTGATTTCCGATTAGTAGGCATATGTGTCTTGATTTTTTTTTCGCACAGGCCCTTGAATACCCCATTAATTAGGAGATGTGTACCCCTCTCGATCGATTTTCAAAGCTCCATTCACCATTTCTCCACCACCAAGAATAGTGGTTTTGCAACCATCTCGTCGAGGGCTTTGCCATTACCGTGGTAAATCGTATCGGGCAGGCTCGTTCCGCACCCCCTTGCTTGGGTGTGGAGTGGAGCAATCGAGAACTTCTCAAGGTCGGTAGCGGGGATGGATGCCATCGCTCCGCCTCTTACGGTGTAGCGTTCGTGTTCGATTTGGCTTTGGCTTTCGGCTAACTTACCCCCGAGCAATGATTATTTATGGTTAACGGCACCCACGTTGGACGACACACTTTCTTGCATCGCGTGTTCATCATCCACATCGTCTCGCGATTTACATTGATTCATCATGTACGCATGCATGTAGTCCCTTCGGAGGAGGTAATGATGCACAAACAACTTGTATTTTCTCTCCTTGATAATATTACTGCAAGAATGGATGTGCCCTTTCCCGAAAGCGCTCCCACCCTTTCACCCTTCCCACCGGATGCAACAAAAAACCTCATGCTCTCTAACGCCAACACGAGATAAGACAAGCAAGAATCAATCGCATCGAGGAGGACTTCGTACGTACATGAGTCCTTGTGGTGACAGACCTGCACTTGTCCAGGGCCGCAAATAAATACTCCGATGACAGGGCATTCATGCATGCCAGCACACCAGCCCCCCACCGACGGGCGGGCGTACATTCATATCCCCCTCCTATTAGTACACTTGGACTTCTTAGATAGCATCCACACCGGGAACAAGATCGATCGAGCCTCTCCCAACCAAACACTCGACAACAAATTCAACCAAGAACAGAAACAAACCCCAAGGCCCCAGGCTTGGCATTCTTGCTGCTTGTTGCTTGTGTCCGTCCGTGCATCGGAGTCACCGACGACACAACAAAGAGCATCAATGAATAGCAGCTGCCCCCGCAACCAACAACAGACAACCAAACTCCTCCTTCGTGAGGTTCTTAAAGGGTGGTCTGGCTGGCTGACCTATCGGACGAATACAGAAAAAAAAAGCACGAGTGGAACCGCACCCAAGGCCATGCCTGCATCACACGCAACGACGTCGGTCACGCCAATGCACGGCCAAAGACAGACGGATAGATGCAGAACAAAGACGAGAGGATACATTCGCAGAAACTCGTCAAAGAGCTAAGAGCAGCAATAGTAGCAGTAGCCTGTACAAGAGGTCCCCCACCCAAATTTTCCACAACCCTATGAAACAGTCGACGGCTCCTCTCCTCTCGCCCCAGCACTGCACAGACCAACACCTGCCGCCGAAAGCACCCCCGCGCGCCTGCCTCCGCCCACCAAACACGCCTACCACGGTAAGCTTTGACTAACGGCGAGGCTCATAACCTGTTGTCTTCCGGTCCGTCGTCGCGCCCACGTGCCTTTTCCATCAGTCCCAGAGAGGCCCCGTGAAATCCGCTTGGTGGGGCGCTTCCGGAGTGAGTGCGGAGGCTGTCTGATGTGATGAATGTTGTTGCTTGTTGTACACACATCTACCTAAATAACAGCATTGATTGGGCATCACGAAGCCGCCGTCCCGAACACTCTTGCATAAAAACATCCTACCGCAGGTATGACACAAAAAGCAAAACATTGATGGAGACACGGAACTTCCACCCCGTACGTAAGCATACCACCGCCCATTTTTCAGCAGTGAACCGGTCGCTTTTCACTCACGCAGTCGAAAAGCCCCGCCCCAACCCCCTAAAATATAGAAATTGCCAACTCAATTTTTCACACTAAATGAACGTGATTTTCGTCTTGTCTTTCTGGGACAAAAAACACGTGAGAACAGAAACAGCACATTCACATCCATAGAGACCAACAAACTCAATCAGCAAAATGCCCGGCATTGAAAAATTGGCGAAACATAAAACGGCGGAAGATGGCTTCGACGCGTGCGATCGATCAGTTGACCTCTAATACCAATAAAACTCCCTCCCGACCCCTTCCCTCTTTCCTGTTCATCATTTTAATAACATGTCGTTGACACATGGTAGAGGATTTCACTACTCACAGAGCTCACAATTCTGATTTTTGTCTTTTCTCATCACGGGAAACGAACAAAAGCGCCCCCATGACAAACACGCAAACGTCGTTGCGCATCTGACGATAAGGTCCTCGACATCCCGGTCGGTCTAAACACATACCATACGCACTACCACAACACCAGCTACCCCCCCCCCCCCCCCCCCC